TCTGAACTCGTGCTCGCTGGCGAACTCCCACCGCTGCCCCCCACGCCCCAAACCTCTCCCTGACAGACACAGTGAACCCCTAGCCCCCCAAAACCCCCCACACTGCCTGCAGCATGCCTCCAGCAGCCAGCGGGCTTGTGTGCGAGCAGAGCAGTTCAGTCACTGCTAATAAATCCCCAACCATACATCTTCCCCCGGCCGAACTCGACAGCGCAAAGAGAAAGGTTAAAAGGATCCAGATGCACCTGAGCGGAGGCAGGCTGCCGCCACGCCCGCCCAGCGTCCCCGCCAAAGGCAGCAGGGAAAAGTGCAGGATGGGGCTGCGAAGGAGGGAGCCCGGGGGGGCCCCGCAGGGGCTCAGAGCCACCCGAGGCTTTCAGTCTCTGCAGAGGAGATGGATAAAAGCATCTCTGATGCGGACGAGGGCTCTCTTGCCATCATCTCCCCCTCCAGCTAGACCAGAGCCTGCTCCAAAGCCTGACGCTCCCAGGATCCAAGGCTGGATCCCACTGGCAAAGCAAAGGCTCCACTGAATACTCGGTCTAGAAGCTGCTCTGCCAGCAGTCCCAGGCTGGCGCCGAAGCTGCTCTTTGCCAACACTTTGCTGTAACAAACCATTTGTTTTACTCTTGCTCCCTCCCTAAACACAAGACGTTTGATGCTTCTTACGAAAATATCCATTAGTGAGATTACCGCTGCTGGTTCACTGGCAATTCGAGGAGCAATTTGAAAGGAAGGGACAAAAAAAAAATGGAGTGGAGAAAACCTCATGAATTAGCCCACAGATCCCCAAATCTGGTCACCATCCAGGCGCAGACCCCCCCAGCCACCCTCGGGCCCCAGTGCAGATGCAAGTCCCATCCAACCCCGCCTTGTCACGATGGCTTGTGCACCGAGTGGTGGGTGACACCCTGCCAGTGAGGGCAGAGGGACTGGACTCAACGGGGGGAGAATAAATAATCCGGCTCCCAACACTGGCCGCTGCCGGTAGGACGGATCGGCTGGGGCATCCCCAGGGTGGCCTTGCATGAACGAGCCCTCGGGGACAGTCTGTGCCACACGGTGTTTGCAGAGAAAAGGACGGAGTTTGTGTGACAGGACAGGAACCGAGGCCCGGAGGGATTTTGGGGCAGTGCTGGCAAAAGAACCGGGGAGCGCTGGCCTCCCCATCCCAGAGGTCCCCTGCTTCCCCTCGGAGCGGTGCCAGCCACGCTGGGCGACTGGGAGCAGCCCTGCTTTGCCTGGCACAGTCACAGCTCATTACCCGAGAGCAGCAGCCCAATTTCTCAAAGTCCATCTGCTTGCCCATGCTCTATCTCTCCGCCTGCCCGCCCCCGTCAAGGACAAGCAAACCTTGCTGGAAAAGTCCCCTGCATCTGTCCTGCCCTGCACAGCCACACTCCTCTCGAGCCCTGAGCCACGCTCTAACCTCTCCGATCTATTTGCAGCACCATCATGTGGGGAGGGCAGCGGTTCCTGCCTTGTCCCCAGCTACCCGCTCTGCCCTGCGAGGGGACCTTGCTCTCCCAAGCACATCAGGCCGGAGGTTGCTGTCACGTCAGCTGCAGCAGAAAAGCCCACGTCATCCCTGCCTTGGGAAGGGAAAGTCTCAGGGAACCTGCTGGAAGGGCGAGCAGGGCAGCAGCAGGGAACAGACCTTGCTGGGAGGCTCACGTCACTGCTCAGAAAGGCCAAGGGGAGATGGTGACCCGCTGGAAACCAGCGCTGCAGGGAACTCACTGCCCCACTAAGACGGGGTGGCACGGCTGCTGAAGAGAGGCAGCGCTGGGACAGAAGAGCTGCAGAGCCCCCCGACGCAGGGAGGCTGCGGGGAGCCTGCGCTCTGCGCGGGGACCCTCCACCTACAGTACAGCTCTCTGGTGGTGGGCTCCCCTGGATGGCAGCTCCCACTCCGCTCCTGGGCTCAGGTTAAGCACACAGCAGCAGCAGGGTGGTACTGGTGCCAGGGCTGCCGGGGAAGCCAAATCCCTGCTCGCAGGAAGAAGCGAGCCAGCGGAGGCTGCAGAAAGCACCCACACCTCATGGCCCCAGCACCCAGTAGCACGGTCAGCCTGGTCCTGCCCCTCACGGGAAGAGCTTGCGTCCATCCGCACTGCCCTGCAGCCTCAAGGAGTGTTTTAATGCCTGGCTCGCAGTGAAAGCTTGGCCCCCCCTCCTCTGATGACTCACACAGCTCAGATTTTGTCTTCTTTCACCCCCCTAGTGCTAGTGGAGCAAGGCTGGATGGGCGCTGCAGTAGGTCCCCATTAGAAACGGTCCTTGGCAGCGAAAGGCAAAAAAGAAAGAGTCTGCAGGCAGCCTGGCTTTCAGCGACTGCCCTGGGGCAGCAGGTTGCCCACCTCTGTCCAGGGGCAGCATCGCAGAGGAACAGGGTCTGACTTTCACCACCGTTGCCTCCTGGGTGGGTTTTAGGCAGTGCCCAGAGAGCAGCGCTGCCAGCCCCACCAGCGAGAGCGGTGTTAAGAGACCAGAGATCACCACAATCGTAGAAGAAATCCACTGTTAACAACAGCTCAAATGCAACAGGGCTAAATCATCCACTGCTCTGAGGCACCTAATTGCTGATCTGAGCCTGTAAAGGTTTGTTTGCATGGTTTATCGGAGCCATTAGACTGAAATCCCAGACGACTGCTTATATCAGATTCACTTCAGGCCTAATGAGCTCATGGGTGCTCGTTGCTGGGGTCACAGAGACAGTCTCTTCTCCAGACACATCCTCCCACAGCCTCCCCAGGCATTAGGGTGCGTGTGGGGCAATCGCTCCCTTTGGAAAACAAGAAGGAAGATCCTGGATGTCCTCAGCGGCAGGGTGAAATCTATGACTCACTCCCTGACAGTGCACAGGGGGGTTGTTAACAGACATGGGCAAGGTCAAAACATTACTCCAGACAGCTAAGGCGTCCCTCTAATGCCTCTATCCTTCCTGGAGGTGTGAAGCAAGTAGCAGAGAAGTGCCTGAAGTGCCCAGGGCAGCATCAGAGCAGCAGAAGTGAGACAGCAGTGGCCTTTGGCAGTTGAGGAGGAAAGGATCCCGGAGATAAGGGCATGCCTACCTTTGTGATTCATCGTCTTCAGGCACTGCTTGCTCTGGATATCCCACAGCCGGACTGTTTCGTCATGTGAGCCAGAAAGCAGCAGGCTGCCGTCCGTGGAGACCGACAGACACGTCACCTGGTTCCTGGAATGGGGAAGAGGAAGTTTAAACTCAGGATGACCCGAGGACTGCCAGAAACTGGTGAGGTGGGCAGACGGGGGCGATGAAGTGTTTGGTAGGTATGTCTGGTCCCTCACCTGTGCCCTTTGAAGACCTTCCCGTTCTCCCGCTCTGTCTGGAAGGTCCGGTCTCTCTGGACCGGCTGCAGAAATGAAGGAAGGAAGGGAGAAAGCAGCTTAAGATCAGGAAGACTGAAGTCAGCAGGTTCATCACTGTGTCTGGAGGGGGCAGAGGAGATACAGGGGAACCCAGGCCCTCCCACGCCCTGGCAGGTCACACCAGTCACGTAGGCGGGGAGGTGACAGTAGCTCAGGGTGCCACGTCAAGGCTGGGCTGCTGAGCAGATCTGCAGCCCCACGCACTCACCCAGGCACAGAGGTCAACCTGGAAGATGGATCCGTCCATGCCGCCGCAGAACATGTGATACTCGGAGAGGTCAAGAGTCACAGCCATGATCCCCACATCGAAGAGGACAGACAGCAGGAGCTCCCCAGATGAGACTTCCCAGAGCTGGAGTGAGAGGGTACAGGAGAATTAGGGGCTTAAATGTTAATGGCAGGATTGGAAGAACACGCTACTGCTTATCAGCACCTGCCCAGTGGCAAGCTGGCAGCATGTACCAGCATCCCCTCCTTGCTGCGGATGGGGAAACTGAGTCCAAGGCATAAGACCGGGAAGACCCAGGATCAGCCTCTTTGTGACCACGAGACAAGTTTCCCAGGCAGCTCCGAAACAGCCCTTAACCCCCTCGCGTGCCCATCCTGCCCCCCTGGGCAGACCCCTCTCAGCAAGGCAGGAGGAGCAGGCTGCGCAGCCTGCTCTGGTCCTGCCCCTCGAGACTAAAGGACGTCAGCGAGGGGAATCAGAGGTGCTGACCCCAAGATTCCCCAGGAGAAGAGGGACTGTAAAGCACGCGGAGGCCCAGCCCGAGGGCAGGTGCAGAGAAACTGCTGGTGTTTGGAGAGGCAAAGCCCACTAGGTCTGGCAGCTCTGAGTCATCACAGAGACAGCCAAGAAATTCAGCTACTGCAACCCTCACCGACGGCTTTGCTGCAGCCCAGCAGAAACTCTGCTTTAACCCTCTGGTGCCTGCGCACCTCTGGGACTCTTGTTCAGTGGGACGGAGCCAAGCCTTACCTTCGCTGTCTGGTCAAGGGAGGCTGTGGCAGCTCGTGCCAAGGGCCCTCCAAAGCCACAGCACAAGTCCGTGATGGGGAGGCTGTGTCGGGACCACACGTGGCGAGGGTCGGGGATCTGGGAGGGCTCTGCCTGCAGCACGCTGTAAGGGAGAACAGAGAGATGGTTGGCACGGCTGGTCAGCGAGAGCGATGCTGGGGATGCCAGAGCAAAGCGGCTGCAGGGGGAGCTGGCCAAGGCTCTGCTTCCTCCGCGATGGCTCTCCTGGCTGCAAGGACCAAGCAGGACACAGAAGCTGTCAGCAGCCACAGCACATGCGGTACCGAGGTCGAGGGCCATCCCAGAGGACACAGAGACCTCAGCTGCCATTAGCAGGGAAAGGGCACAATCCACTCTGTGTCAAGCAGGGAAAAGAAGTCAGAGCCATATGCCACAGCTTGGGAAACTCAGATGAGACACTAGGAAAAAACCTTTCTGGCAGCGAGGATAACAACAGTGGAACAGCCGCCTAAGGAGGGCACAGGCTTTACGAACAGCTTAGACACACGGGCTTAGGCAGAGCTGATTCCGCCTCTGGGAAGCGGTGGCTGATCTCTCGTTCTAATATTCCTCACCCAGATGCTCCCTGTGCCCCGTACGAATGGGCTGAGACCTCCCCGCGGGCCACCGTTACCTGTAAAGGTTCCACACCAGGGCCAGACAGTCCTTTGCCCCTGAGAGAAAGTGGCTGCTGTCGTCAGTAAAGCAGAGGCATGTGAGGTCCTGGTAGTGTCGGTTCAGGATGGCTAGGAGGTTCCCGTTGGAGACCTAGAGCAAGGGAAAGGGCAGGAGAATATTAAGAAAGGAGCACTGAGATGCCCCAGAATAACGTAGCGCCCTGCCCTCAACGGTTGTGGGTGCAACAGCACCTGCAGCTCCATCCCCAGCTGGGCGCCGCTGTGCCAGGCGCGAGCAGAGCGGAGAGGCCCCGCGCCGTGGAGCTGCGCAGAACATGGTGGAGAGTGGAGGCGGCAAGCAGAGTGAAAAGGGAAGGTCGTGGTGACCGCGCGAGCCCATTGGCACCTCACTGATGGCAACTGACACAATCAAGGTGCAACCGGTACAATCACATACGCTTATGACCGAAGGTAAATACAGCAGAACACAGTTTGAAGAGGTCCTGCCCATGTTAACTCTGGAACCTAGTGATGCCAGTGCCATTTTTCCAGTCAAGGCACAAGGGTGCAGTAAACATTTCCTGTTTGCTGTTAGTATTACTCTGGTCACTTCCAACCTCCCACATCTAACAAGACGGCTGCGGAGGTTACGAAAGCCGGGCTCTGCAGGAGGCTGTGTGCCACCCCAGGGGTTGTTGCATTTCAGCGTGGCTGCACGGTCTCGGGCCAATGGAGGCGTTAGGGTGGGTAAGGAGTTCCCTAAACCTGGAGCTTTTCTTGTTGAAAGGCAACACCGCAGATAGGGAGAGAACCAAGGAGGCAGCGAGGGAACCCTGTATAAAAAAACAGAATCGACTCCCTCTCGTTGTCTGAATTACACCTAAAAATAAAACCAAATTGCAATTCAATGGAGAACAAGTGGTTTCACAGAGAAGGCACAAAACTAGGGCTCTTGGGCCCATTTCCAGCTCTATGATGGTTTCCACGCAGCCTCTCCAAGGTGCCTGTTCCCTCTGCCAGGAGGACAGTGCCGTCACCCACTCCAGGCAGACGCTCGGAAGCGTTTGCAAGGCAAGCCTAGCTGGGGACAGACGGAAAGGGCCACGTTCTGCAGATGAAGCACAGATCAGCTCAGAGCATCACAAGCGAGTAACTCCCACGTGCTGCAGTCTCAGCCCAGCATTCCTTGTGAGGGCTTTTTTCCCCAACATTGCCACAAGCACATTTTTAAAAGAAGAATCTGATAAATTAAGATATTGCTGCCCACATAACAAGGCTCAGAAACAGCCCCCAGGACTGAGAGTTTTCCAAGTTAGACATCTCGGTGTTTAATCCCGGGGCTCAGAACAAGCTTGTTCTTTTATTTGCTTGGTGAAGTGCTTAGAACGTAGTGTAATTCCCACGTAACACACCACTAATTAAAAATAGAAGGATGATGACCAGAGCACAGCAGTCTCTGCAGACATCCAGATCACAAGTCACATACAAATATTAGGCTAAAACGTGGAAGAAGTGCTAAAGGAAAACGCAGTCCTGTGTTTCCGCTTTGAGAGAGCAACATCTGACCCCTGCGGCACCTGTAGCAGCTTGGAAAGAGAAGGAAAGAACAGACCTAAGCCTCATCCAGCAACTCCCACCACAATTCCCTTTCCTCCCTGCTTTGACAAGCCGCCCCGTAGTCTGCATGCCCACGGAGGCCACCGAGCAGCCAGCCCCAGCCCCTCGGGGCAACACGGAGCCCAGACTGCACCAGCGACAGCTCTAATGTACATGACCCAGCCAAGCCTTCGCCCCGCTGTGGAGCCCAGATAATGTGGATTTAATGACACCTGACGGGACAAGGGCACTCGTTAACTGTACAGGATGGGAATCTCTACACCCCCATTCCCCGGGCCAGCTGGCAGCCCCCTTACCTCCCACAGGTAGATGCTCTCAGCAACGCCAGCCAAGATGTAGAGCCCGTTGGGAGAAGCTGTCAGGCAGGTCACCGGCCCAGGGCATATGATCTTCTGCTGGAGCTGGTCCTGGGGACACAAAGAACACAGAGACCCTTCAGTAGGGGCTGGAGTACGGGAGGGAGAGAGAAACAAGACCCTGGTTCAGTTGAGACCGGCCCGTGGGAGAAGAGGCAGCTCAGGCAGCGTCCGACGCGCTGCGGCTGCCTGCGTTTGAGCCATGACCTCAACCCACATCAGCAGCGCCGCGGTTCGGAGAGTCAATGCCGAAGAGGAAGATGATGGAGGAGCACAGTCCATATGTCCAAATCACATCGAATTGCTCTGCATTTTGCTGGTTTTGTTGCAGTTGCTTTGTGTTTGGCCCTGCAGGGAAAAGGTAAATTCCCCTCCCACCCTCCTCCACCCCCAGAGCTCCAGCCACACGCAGCAGGAGGGGTACCGAAAGGCAACGGATCTGGATGCAGTTACGCTCCACAGCTGGGGAACCTTGGAGATTCAGCAGAAAACAGGCTCTGAAGATTACAGCAAAATAACACTGATAAAAAATTTAAAAAAGAGGATGTGAGGTCACAGCCCGGGACAACAAGCAGCAGATCTGAGAGCAGCTCCTCACAGGTCGGTGGAACGGAAAAAACAGACCCTGAGCCATGGCAGCAAAGGGGCCGCGTGTGCTGAAACCCACCGGCTGCTGCTGTTCCCTGCAGCAAAACTGAGGGGAACGACAGGGAACGGAGAAACGACGGCTGTCTTTGCCACTGTCCTGCACAGTTTAAGCACAAGCGGGATGTGGCTAGCAGGAGGAGGAAGGGGTACGGCTGTGTAGGGATGGGGAGGTTTGTCCGGCTGCGTTTAGTCTTCTATTTTTTGCTGGAAGGCGCAGAGAGCGGACCGAGGCGACAGGAGGCTTCAGGTGAAGTGG